CCTGTGAGGTACGCCGAACCTCATACACCTATGTTTTGACGAATATAAGAGTTAAAAGCTAGAAATTCTACGTTTCTTTGTATCAACAGCGCATTCTCAAGCGTTTTTGAAGAAACTGCCCGTGGAAGATGATCTTTTAGTCCATCACCAGTGATTTGACGCCGTGGGAACTTATGAGCTGTTGGGTGAATTAGGATGACTGCCATATCAAGTGAAATTCATGGATTTGAAGCTATTTATTTCCCTAGTTTGTTGCTAGTAGACCTGGGATTAATTCATAGTCTTAATTCTGGTTAATTTAGAGTCTTAACCTTAATCTTAATCCTGAATCTTAATCTTAATCTTAATTCTGAGTCTTAATCTTTACGTTTCTTGCACATTCCACACATCTGCTATAAGTTCAAGATTCATGAAAAGCCCATCATCCCGATAGCCCTCGTACCGTTCTTTTATCAAATCGTAGGTACCACTGAGCTGCTCGTTTCATTTATCTATTATCTCTCATCTCTATCACCTGATCAGGTCCCAGTTCTGAATTTGTCATTTTTTTTTTTGGGTATTTTCTTTGAGTTCCGTGATTTTTTACGGTTTTCCAGGAAGCATACCTTGTTTATATACTAAATGAAATGGCTGGACAAACAGCAATTGTCTTTTGCGCCACATGTGCATCAGCGCTGAAGATTGCGCTGATGTTGCGGCAACTTGGTTTTGGTGCAGTCCCTCTGCACGGGCAAATGAGCCAGGTGAGTTGTAGCGAGCTTCCCCTTTGAAAAAATCTTTTTTACATTTTGTAATATTGAATATTAAATGGCTTTTCCCATAAAAGCTTTCTGATAGCAGCAGTGCCTTCTTTGCTACCTTCTGTTTTCTTGCTTCTGCTTGGCTCAGATTCCACTCGAGGTACCTACTTTGCTGTTTTTAGGTTAGAGGGCTGTACTGATGATTCCCACCTCTATCCACTCCTTCAGTTGTCTGTGTTTACAGCTAAGGGATGAACAGAGACAAGTATTCGTAAATATTCTCAGCACACGGGAGATGAACATGTCATATTGCTTATATTACATATTCTAAAACACTGTCTCTCAATCCCTCCCATGTGCATTAGCAGATTCCTCATGGAATATTTAAGTTGAATCTTCCTATTCCATTGCATTTCGGATTCAAACATTTTCATTTTTTTTCAAAAGGTTTTGACAGGCATTTATAAACCGCTTCAATTTTAGGCCAAACGACTTGGCTCATTGAACAAATTCAAGAGCAAAACATCAACGATTCTTGTTTGCACTGATGTCGCATCAAGAGGTCAGCAAACGTTTGTTTTGGCTCTTAAAATTATTGAAAAAAAAAAGTTTTTTACTTTTTTTAACATGATTTTATCGTTTAGATTTATAATATTATTAAATATTAATGCATTGATTTCTTAGAAAGCGCGTAAATTTCCCGCACACTGTAATTTTTTTGTGAATTTTCATATCTGCATGAAATAGCTATCCTGCGGAGTGGCTATCGATGGAAAAAAATCAACGGATTGCTACCTTACAAGCACTAGATCAATTTAATCATCGATGGACTGATTTTTTGAATTTTTGGTTGCTTTCAATCAATTTTTTGGTTACTTTCAGGCTTGGATATACCGCATGTGGATGCTGTATTGAATTACGATGTGCCAACACAGTCCAAGGATTATGTGCACCGTGTTGGGCGCACTGCTCGAGCTGGCCGATCCGGTGTTGCTGTTACCTTCGTTACGCAGTACGATGTTGAGGTTGTGTTAAATTTTCTATTTCAAGTTGTGGTTTTCATGATTATCTGATTTTATTTGCGATATACTGCATAAATCAGATAAAACTAATAAGCGCCAAATTGTTTATTTTGCGGTGGCTAAACAGATTTGAGTACTTTTTACAAAAGTATTCATAAAAAAATTTTTATGACTCACGAAATTCTTATGGAATTCTTATGGAATCAATTCGTAGTGTGCCCGGGAAGAAAAATTCTTATAATCTGTTTTATTCTGGTGAGGAGACAAAGGAATGAGATCAGTAATTTATGGAGAAAATTAAAAAAGGTGCAAAATTAAACCAAAATTTTAAAAAATCAGTTTGAATTTGCACTGTGATAAAATAAGGAATTGAAAAATTTACTCCCATAATGCTTATATATGCTATATTTAAGCAAGCGAAGTTTACACCTCCATAAAATATGAAAATGCGGGATTTGCCACAGAAATGTTTATACGTACCTCTTCGAAAAAAAAAGGAGGTGAAAAGTAGAAAAAGGCATCGTTCTGGTCAGAAAAGAATCTGAAGGTGGAGTGCCATGCTTTTTTTCCGGGAGCTGAATAGACCACCATAGGGGAATTTTGTCTTTTGGTGTTTGGAGGGAGCGTTGATTTGGTTTACTTTTATGTCGCATAATAAAATTTTTTACCAAATTTGTCTGTTTGCATTGTTAAATTTTAACTTTTCTTTTATTAGATGTACCAACGGATTGAACATCTGATGGGCAAAAAGCTGCCGTTGTATGAAACAGTGGAAAACGATGTTATGTTACTTGTGGAACGAGTTGATGAGGCGCAGAAATTAGCCAAACAAGTAAGCACAAAACTATATAAATATTAAATTACTGATGAAATTCCCCACCCTTGTGAAGCTTACTTAGGAATCCAGCTTGCTCCCTCTGCTTCTGTTCATCGAGGAGCGGAAAAAAAATATCGGCAAGTGATTAAGGTCCCTGGCCTATAAATAGCCGACGCGTCTTGCAAAATGGTTATATGTCCTTTCAATACATGGCGGGTAGGAGGCTGTACTGACGATTCCCACTCCTACTCGCATGCAGAGTCCGGTCTGTGTATACAACTAAGGGATGAAACACAGAGATTGCATCGTAAAATGTCTTTTTGTACATGACACTTAAGTTGAATCTTTCTACTCTACTATTTATAAAAAAAATCTTGGGAACAGTCAGCTGGCGTTTGAGATCCATCAGCCGATAAACAAAATCATATTAGTGGTATCATGACAGCGCCAGGCCATTTTTTACTTCTTTTTTCTTTTTTTTTCGCAATTCGTCACTACATAATTCTCATCTTATGCGTTATTTTCAACTCTTGTCGTGGAAAATATCGAATTTATGGTATTTTTTTATCTTATACGTTGAGTTTTTAATTTTTTTTAAGGAGCTCAAAGAGATGGATGAAAAGAAGGGTAAAAAAAGGAAGCGTCTTGCTGAGGATGACGAATTGGACGATACGGAAGAAAGTAATTATAGGAAAAAATTCAAACGTAAGCAGAAAGGTGGTCGTGGCCCAGCAATGAAATCAGGAAGGAGGAAATTTTGATTTTTTTTTTTTAATCTGCGTATTGTAAAAATGTTGTTTTGTTTGTTTTTAAAATAATAAAAACTAAACGTATTTTTATTGCACCTGTAATATGACCGAGGTTTTCATGCATGGACGCTTATGAGCTTTTTTGATTAGCTTCTTCACTCAGGGCTTTTTCCATATTTTGCGAAACTGTTTACTTCAGTTGTTTTTTTCTGACCATGCACTCAAGATTTTCCCTTCTTAATCCATCTCCCGGGGACTCACAGACCGGAAATAGTCCTTTGTGCAGTAGCGCAAATGAATGATATTATTTGGTGAAGAGACAGGCGAAAAGTGAGGCGCATAGATAGGGAAGGTAAGTGTCCAGGAATGCGCGTCGCACTCTTTAATTCGTGACTGGGATGACCCCCTTTTTCTCCCTTGCCCCTCTCAGTCAGAGGTATAAGTACTTCGTTTTCT